ATGGCACGGGCCCCAGAGTTCCACCCACCCACCCAGGATGGGATGGGAGGGGGGACGACGACGACGACGACGACGACGACGACGACGACGACGACGACGACGACGACGACGACGACGAACCACCTCAAGCCCACAGGGCCACGACCACAGGGGGGGGGGAGGCGATCCCATTCGCGGGTCCGTTGCGACCTTGGCCTCGGACAGCCCTCGGCGAAAGCAGCGGAACGTCCACCCTCCACCACGCCATGCCCAGAGGCCCACAGGCCACAGGGGGGAGGGGGGAGCGGCCTCCTTCGCGCGGCCTTCGCGAGGCTCACGGGCGTCGTGCCTATCCAGCGGGGTGTGGGGGGGGGGCTGATCCCATTAGCACTGGGGTTGTGGATGCCACGACCATGGACACCCTAACAGACCTATCATTGAATTCAAAATGTATTTAAACTGTAGAAAAAGTGTTCTAAACGTGTTTCAAACATGCTTTCTCCCTGGACCATATATCGTGGCAAGCGCTGGGCAGCATCACTCCTCCTCCTTTCCGTGCCATGCGGTCGGGATGCCTACTCAGCGTGGCGCGGCGGCGGCCCCGGCGACACCCTGTGCCCTACAAGCGGATGTCCGTGTCGCTCCGCCCCGCTTGGCGCGAGGCTGGGAAAATTGCGGGACGTTGCTGCCTGGGGGCCAGCTCGTGGTCAGCGTGTTGCGCCGAAGCGTGGTGGGCCAAAACCGGTGACGCGATACGCTGTATAAGCCAACGTTCCTAACCGCACTCGTTCACAGTATCATACACGTACTAGTGTCATTCCCCATCGAGCTCCTCCTTCTTGTTCCACCTCCCCATGCTCAGTATACGAACCGTCCTTATCATCCTTATCACACTGCCAATGGTCACCACCACCAGCACCACGGCCATCATCATCATCATCATCATCATCATCATCATCATCATCATAATCATCATCATCATCATCATCAGCAGCAGCATCAGCAGCATCAGCAGCATCCTCATCATCATCAGCAGCAGCATCATCATCAGCATCAGCAGCAGAAGCATCATCATGACCATCATCATCATCATCATCAGCAGCAGCATCATCATCAGCAGCAGCAGCAGCATCAGCATCAGCATCAGCATCATCATCATCATCATCATCATCATCATCATCATCAGCATAATCAGCATAATCAGCATCAGCAGCAGCATCCTCCTCCTCCTCCCCCTCCTCCTCCTCGTCCTCCTCCTTCTCCTCACCATCATCATCATCATCAGCAGCAGCAGCATCATCATCAGCATCATCATCATCATCATGCTCCTCCTGCTCCTCCCGCTCCTCCTCCCCCCTCTCCTACTTTCCTCCTCCTCCCCCTCCTCTTCCTCCTCTTCCCACTCCTCCTCGTCCTCCTCCTCTTCCTCCTCCTCCTCCTCCTCTTCCTCCTCCTCTTCCCCCTTCTCCTCAATCTCCTCCTCCTCATCATCCTCCTCTTCCTTCTCCTCCTCCTCCTCCGCCTCCTCCTCATCTTCCTCCTCCTGCTCCTCCAGTCGTCGTCGTCGTCGTGATCGTGGCCATCGGCGTTGTTATCCCTATCCATATCCCTTTATCCCTCTCCTCCTCCTCGTCCTCCTCCGTCCCTTTTCCTTATACATAAGGTCTCCCTGTCGCACCCCCAGACGGGTCGGTAGGGCGTCCCGGGCGTTTCGCCTAAGACTTCCCCACCATTCATGGCCCTGCAGCTTGGCATTTGCAACAGCTTCAAGGATGGAGGGCGGGTTGTTTTAAAAAGTGGATTCTCGCCTCAGCGCCGCGCACATTCGTCTTTAAACGTTGCAGCCGTTTCACATCTGAAGGGCGGGTCATGTTCAAAATGCCGCTCTCGCCGTTGGCGCCGCGCACAGCTTCGCAGATGGAGGACACATCCTTTTCAAAATGTTGCTCTCGCCGTAAGCGCCGCGCACATCCGTCGCAAACCACTACCGCACAAGCACTGATGGAGAGCGAGTCTGTTTTGAATTGTAGTTATCGCTTTAGCACCGCCGTTTCAACAATGGAGGACGGGGCGTGTTTAACATGTTGCTCCCGCCTGAACGCAACGCACATTCGCCTTACAGTTCTGCAACAGGTTCAAGAATGGAGGGCGGTTCCTTTTCAATATGTGGTTCTCGCCATAGCGCCGCGCACGTTCGTCTTAAAACGCTGCAGCGTTTCACCCATGGAGGGCGGGTCTGTTTCAAAATGTTACTCTCGCCCTAACTCCGCGCACATTCGTCTTCACCCTTTTGCAACAGGTTCAAGAATGGAGGGCGGCTCCTTTTTCAAAATGTGGTTCTCGCCATAGCGCCGCGCACATTCGTCTTGAACATGTGTAGTAGTGTCAAGGCTTCGTATGGTTGAAGTCCCAGGAATGGTGAACTGGCAACTTTTGGGATTGCCAGAACGCTACAGTCACGTTGGTTCGCGGTGTTGAAGACCCAGAATTGGTTTCCTAGCACGGCTCAAGGTTGTCAGGGTGCAGCAGTCACGTTGGATCTTGGCGTTGAGATCTTAGGAATGGTGTTTGGGTGCGGTTGAAGATTCTCAGACGGTGGTCATCCAATTGGGAACTTCCCGCAATGACACATACATGTTTGCCGGGACCTACGGATAGGGAACTTGGAGGGGGGGTGTTGTAACATCATTGTTGCGTCTTGAGCATACACTGGCCCTCCTCCTCCTCCTCCTCCTCCTCCTCTTCCTTCTCCTGCGCTTCCTCCTCCTCCTCTTCCTCCTCCTCATCCTCCTGGTCCTCATCCTGCTCCTTCTCCTGCTTCTGCTGCTGGTCTGGCTCCTCCTTCTCCTCCTCCCCCTCCTCCCCCTCCCCCTCTCCTCCTCCTCCCTCCTCCTCTCCTCCTCCTCCTCCCTCCTCCTCCTCCTCCTCCTCCTCTCCTCCTCCTCCTCCTCCTCCTCCTCCTCCTCCTCCTCCTCCTCCTCCTCTTCCTCTAAGACTGTCAGGGCGCAGCACTTACGTTGATCCGCGGTGTCGAATTCCCAGGAATGGTGTTCTGTCACGGTTCAGGAACGCCAAGACGCGTTAGCCAGGTTGATTCGTGGCGTTGAAATTCCGAGAAACATTTTCTGGCACGTTTCATGACCTTCCGACGGCTGTCTCCTAACTGGGCACTTTCCTCAGTGAACATGAACCCTTGCTGGGGGCTATGAAGAGGGAACTTTTAGGGAGGGTTCATTGCAACATCGTTGATGAACCTTAGGTTTACATTGGTCCTCCTCTTCCTCCTCCTCCTCCTCCTCGTCCTCCTCCTCCTCCTCCATTCCTCTTCCTTGTAAATAACTTCTCCCTGTCGCACCCCGCGGCAAGCTTTTAGGGCGGGCCTGGCGTTTCGCCTGAGTCTTCCTCACCATGTATGACCCTGCAGCTTAAAAAATGACAGCTGTCTCACAGATGGAGGGCGGGTGGTTTTCAAAATGTGGCTCTCGCCTCAGCGCCGCGCACGATCGTTTTAAAATGTGCAAGCGTGTCACGGATGGAGGGCGGGTCGTGTTCAAAATGTGGCTCTCGCAGCAGCGCCGCGCACATCGGTTTTTATTATTTGCAAGAGGTTCACGGATTGAGGGCGGGCCGTTTTCAAAATGTGGCTCTCGCCGCGCACATTCATTTTCGAATGGCTTCTTTTCAAGATGTGGCTCTCGCCTCAACGCCGCGCACATTCGTTTTTAAACATTGCAAGAGCCTCACGGAATCCCATGATCAGCGTACCAGAAATAATCTTCTGGAAGGATTCTGGATTATGAGGGTGCAAGAGTTACGTTGGTTCTCGCGGCGTTAAGTCCCAGGAGTGGCGTTCTGGCTCGATTCAAAGTCGTCTAGACGCAACAGTCAAGTTGGTCCGTGGCGTTGGAATCCCGAGAACAACGTTTTGGCATGCTTCAGGGTCTTCAAACAGTTGCCTTCCAACGCGACAGCTCCCTCAATGGAAATGAACTGCTGTAGGGACCTATGAAGAAGGAGCTTGAAGGAAGGGTTTATTTCAACATCGTTGATGACTCTTGGGTTTACACTGGTCCTCCTCCTCCCCCTCATCATCCGTCTCAGTGCACACTCACCACCAGCCCCCAAGGGCCTGGAGGGGCGAATCCCCCAGGCACCCGAGGCACCCCTGCAGCTGCGGGTCCTGGCATTGGAGGCGCGGGGATGCGGCAAGTGAGGA